CTAAAAGCGTGTCCATTCACCACTAACGTCATTACCCGATTTGTTAGGAACGATTACGTTGAACCAAATATTCGTCCAGTGGCACCGTAGCTTTTGAGCTTGTAGAGAAAGCCAGCATGCCAGGTCCTACCGAACGAGATATCAAGGGCCACAGCCTGAAGTTCGCCGTTCTCATCTAAAGCCTGATAGAACAATTCTATGATAGCTGTTAACACACCGGTGATAGAAAAAATATGTTTATCCGAAAGGAGGCCGTGTAAAGTAAGATGCTACGCCAACTCGGCGTTGATTATTCTTCTTTTATGTGCCATGGCCCTTCAGTACATAAGCGGTCATGGCCCTCCACATCTGCTTGTCCCTTGTAGCTCTTACTAAGCTTTGTCTTTTTGTTTGTTCTCTCAAAGCCTGCTCTACCATCTAATTGCTCAAGTATGTTACATTTGCTTTCTCTGTCTCTCTTTCCCTCAGTCTGTATCGTGAGTATCAGGTTTTCCAAAGCCATCCTTCCTCATTATGTTCCCCAGAAATTTCAACTGCCTCGTTGCTCACATATTCGGTCCTTGTTATCCCCAGCAACTTCTTGTAGAACCACATTTCTGTTGCTTCAAATCTCTTCATCTTTGAGAAAATTGTCCAGCTTTCACTGCCGTACAGGAGGACATATATCACATAACAGTTCAATACTCTTTTCTTTGTTTCTAATGAAATTTTTTGTCACTTAATACTCTTAGTTTTTGGAATGCATCTTTGGGCATCCCAATACGTCTTTGATCTCAGTACCGTACTTTCGTCGTCTGTTAGAACACTTACCTGATATTTAAATTTTTGTACTTGTTTGATTTTAGTATCCCTGATTTGTAATTTGCATTTTCGGCTCATCCTGATAACCATACATTCTGTCTTCTTGTAGTTTATACTTAGTCCTTTCTTCTCACTTTCCTTCGCTACTTTCTGTAGGAGCTTTTGTAGTTTCCTTTCCGTGTCTGTTATCAATATTGTGTCATCTGTATATCCTATATTATTAAGATTGTGGCCGCCAGTAATGAATCCTGGTAGGACTTCTAATTCTCTCAACTTCTACTACTTACAAAAATACGTAAGGGCCTAACACGGTGATAATTCGAGCGGTAAGAAGATTTCCTATAGTTCTTAAAGATACTACAAAGGAGGTTTTCCAACAATCTGGAAAGCAAAAAAGTATCAAGAGGTTTATTGTTAAGTTTAGAGAGAACAGGAACTATTTCTGGATCACATTTATTATTTATTTTTGTTTTTGGGAAGATTCTGTGTTGTCCTCTTACCATTTAATTCTCTAGTTGAACTCAAGGTGCTTGCACAGTTCCGCATCTATCGGTATTCGTACCCTATCATCTTTTAAAAAATTTTTCAGAGTCGATTGGTCAGGAAGGTAACTTTTTGATATTATCGTGCGCACCTTTGAAAAGTACCTGAAAACCAGGGGTGGACCCAAACCTTTTGAGTGGAATTGGCTAGTCATCGTGAGCGAGGGTTTCAGCGTGCTGGCCTTGTTCAGGCTGTTGATCATGCTAGATAACGTACTCTCCCCCAGAAACTGTAGCTAAGTTGCAGTATAAACCACACGTGGGGTCTGTGGGTGTTGGACAAACACAAATGTGCTTGAGCAGGCGTATGCAACAGGGATTAGCTAGTCGGCCCAGTAGACGTGCATGCACGGATACGAGAGGTCAGCCAGTACATAGTTGAACTAATGTTATTTGCACAGTTCTCTATCATTGTTTATCCCCTTTCATAACCGATTTCTATTTTCCTACTTTTTGGGCCAACATACAACATTTATTTATGAGGTGGTCTATTGTATCAGTTTTTCACTTTGCTATCATTTGTGATTTCTTCTAAGCTGTAATACATCCGTTTTTCTTTTAAGGTGTCCTTTGAACAACCATATCCATGACATTATTATTGGTTTTTTTTTTTTTGTTATTCTGCTTTTACTCGGGGGAGGGGATACTATTTCAGTGGGAACGGTTTAAAAATATATATTTCTTATATTATTTGTTAGAATAGCGGTTTATCTCATTCTTGTTTAGGTAACTTCCAATGCCACATGATATACCTTAATTCCCCATGTATAATACATCTTCATCCATAATACGCATAGCGAAAATTGTGCTGAAAGTGTGGGAAAATGCTCATACATAATACACACCCCTTGTTTCGTAATCAAACCCTATAAATTGTACCCCTACAATTTCATTACGGCCAGCGTTTCCTACTCTTATTTAAAAATGGTTTGAAACAGAATATTATTCTAATTTAGTTTTATGATAATTCTTATTTTATTTTACGGCAATTTTTTAAAGATTTTTTTTGGTAGCTGTGCATAATACGCATCCCTGATTTTGCTTATTTTTTAGAAAAAAATTCGTATTATACATAAGAATTACGATATATCTAATTACCAATTTCGCAAGTCATACTGAATCTACAAGCAGGAAGGCCAAATTTAATTGCATCTGAGTTATAAGAAAATATCGAAGAGAAGCCATAGCCGTGCTGATAGGATAAAATTACATTGGTTTTGTTTTGTTTAATGGCATATAAACACCTTATGTGTCATTTGATACATAAATTTAATTCTATTGTGAGTTTTGGCATTTTTTTAATTAAAAATATATTTCTTGTCTATATTCCTGAGATGAGGTATTATCTACACTATTTACATTATTCGGACTATTGTCCTCATTTTAACGCCATATTTATTACAACGTTTCGGCCGTTGTACGCTAAAAAAATAAAAAATTACAATATGAGCTCTAGTACAAACATGGAATGATAAGCCATGAACGCCTTATTATTATTAGTTTTTTTTATCAAAAAAAGAGTATGATGATTCTAGAGCAAGCAATGAAAAAAGCAGGCTTGGAAAATTTGATACTCATAGGACACAGAAAAACAACGCATAACCTAGTTATCAAGCTTTAGTAAATCGAAGAAGAACGAGCTTGCGCAAATGAATGGCGGGCTAAGGTTTAGGAGAGATAACAAAAAAAAGACAAAATTTATTAAAAGCTACAAAGGATAAGTAATTGTAGAGAGCCATGATCGCCTACATCCTGAAAGGGAAGAAAAAGAAGAAGAAAAAGCAGAAGAAGAAAAAGAAGAAGATTGTGCAAATAGATGGCGAAGTAAGGTTTAGGAGAGATAACAAAAAAGACAAAATTTATTAAGAGCTACAAAGGATAGGAAATTGTGGAGAGCCATGATCGCTTATGTCCTGAAGGAACACTGCTTATAGAAAATATGAAAATTGATTACTCATGTTCTTGTTATTTTTGAAAAAGATAATTACATTTGAAAATAAATATAAACGTTGGCCGGGAAAATATTAAGGACTGAAGAAGAAAAGATGGCCGTTGAAAGATAAATAAAAAGAAAATGAAAAGCGACTAATTGTAAATAATTAAATCAGGATTATAAATTCCGATATAAGATATCCAGACATTCCAGAAAAAGAGGTTTACATAATATAAAGATGAGTCGAGCAGGGCAACTCATTCACATCGTTTTCTGTCTGACACCCAAAACATTATACGTGAAAATCTGACAAATAGTTAAATATTTATCAGGCTTTTCTTTTTTTTTTTAATTTTTTTTTTGAAGACGTATTGGGATTCCCAAAGATGCATTGCAAAAACTAAGCAGAGTATTAAGTGACAAAAAAATTTCATTAGAAACAAAGAAAAGAGTATTGAACTGTTATGTGATATATGTCCTCCTGTACGGCAGTGAAAGCTGGACAATTTTCTCAAAGATGAAGAGATTTGAAGCAACAGAAATGTGGTTCTACAAGAAGTTGCTGGGGATAACAAGGACCGAATATGTGAGCAACGAGGCAGTTGAAATTTTGGGGGAACATAATGAGGAAGGATGGCTTGGAAAACCTGATACTCACGATACAGACTGAGGGAAAGAGAGACAGAGGAAAGCAGCGTGTAACATACTTGAGCAATTAGATGGTAGAGCAGGCTTTGAGGGAACAAACAAAATGACAAAGCTTAGTAAGAGCTACAAGGGACAGGCAGATGTGGAGGGCCATGACCGCTTATGTACTGAATTGTCATGGCACATTAATGAAGAATAATCAACGCCGAGTTGGCGTAGCATCTTACTTTACACGGCCTCCTTTCGGATAAACATATTTTTTCTATCACCGGCGTGTTAACAGCTATCATAGAATTGTTCTATCAAGTTATAGTAAATAAATATTTGATTTCAGCTTTGAAGCACATTAAGAATATAACGTAGATTTGAGCGTCAATTAAATTAAATGGGACTTTCTGCTTCATCAGATTGGGGAAATGTGCAGAGTTGTTAATATTAATTATATCTAGCATGATCCATGGAAATTCTACTACGTTGACTTCTAAGTTTATTCATTATCTCATTCTTCCGCTTGTCTCTAACTTGTAGCCTGTATCTTCTCATTCTTTCCCTTATCCCACTATCTGAATCCATAGATATAACACTATTTACATTATTCGGACTATTGCCCTCATCTTTGTCGCCATATTTATTACAACGTTTCGGCCGTTTTACGCTCCGGCCTTCAGGTGGTTGGAATGTCGACTACATAATGTCGAACTGAACCCTTTTAATTATCCTCTTCCAAGTTCTATTGAACTCATACTCTTTGGGTCCTGTCACTGGATATAATTAACGTCTTTATCCACTGTGCCATTTGTCCTTGAGGATATCTGGATATGAATTTCTGGGTATTATAAACCTAATGTCTTCAGCAACCATATTTTTTACCAGTGATCATATTGCAATTTTTGCTGTTATCTTTGCATGTTTGTACTAGAGCTCATTGTAATTTTTGATTTTTTGAGCGTACAACGGCCGAAACGTTGTAATAAATATGGCGACAAAGATGAGGAAAATAGTCCGAATAATGTAAATAGTGTACATAATACCTCATCTCAGAAATATAGACAGATATTACACTGGTGTTCATACCTATGATTATCTTGTGCCTTTGCTCTTCTATTACACTTTTCCTGTATCTTTACATTCTCTTCCTTATCCCTTTCAATAAAACTAAGATTATCTATTATCTCATCTGTGATTATCCGGTGCCACTGCTCTTCTCTCACCATTTCTCATTCTCTCCCTTGTCCCTTCCAGTAGAGGTTGGTTTGATGTGGAGTACCGGATATTCACAAGCCAAGGACAAATATTGGCCAGTTCGAGCGATTGTTATCACGCAGTCGTCGTATGTACTAACCTTCGCAATAAAGTGCAATGCAGAAGGATTTACCGCAGGATTTGAAGATTAAACAGCATTAAAAAGTCCTGAGAATGGTTTAAATGTCAGAAATGTGAACACATTTAGTGGAATCGACTAATCTGAATGCCAACCACCCACCACCACATCAAGATAGATGTTGATGACAGTGAAAAAATAAAATGAGATAAATATAATTTTTTTTAAAAATCTAAATTATGCCTTGGTATACACAGAATGTATGCAGCTGTGGGAGAGATCCTGCCGCCTAGTTTTTTGGGTTTTTTTTGCATTAAACAAGAAGAATTGGGCGCGTCTGACAAGCAGCGTATCTCTTCAAGATGTGCTGATTTTAAGAAATCACCACGTAAAAAAAAAAATCCATATCATTTCAGAACATAGGCAATTACGGTTCTTCACAAATACCTTTTTATTATCTCTGAATTGCCATGACTTATTGGGAAAGTTAGGTTAATAGTTTTCCACTGCCTTCTCTACACTTTCAAATTCATATTCATTCACCCTTCAGCACATAAGCAATCATGGCTCTCCATAGATTCCTTTTCTTTATTATCTTTGAATTGCCATGCCTTCTTGGGAAAGATAGTAGAGTTGTTTTACATTGCCTTCTCCACACTTTTCAATTCATAGTCTTTCTCTCTTCAGGATATAGGCAATCATGGCTCTCCACAGATTTATTTTCTTTATTATCTTTGAATTGCCATGCCTTCTTGAGAAAGATAGTATTGCCGACTTTTCATTGTGCTTTTCAATTCATTGCCTTCTCCACACAGAATCATTTTTTCAATTCATATTCATATTCTCCACACTTTTCAATTTAGTCTTTCTCTTCAGGATATAGGCAGTCATTTTCTCACATCCTTTTCTTTATTATCTATCATTTCTTTTTTTCTTGGGAAAGATGGTATATTGCCGACTGTTCCTTCTTCACACTTTTCAATTCATATTCTTTCCTTCTCTTCAGGATATAGGCAGTCATGGCTTATCAGATTCTTTTGCCTTCTTCTGTGAAAAATGCATTCTTGAGAAAGATTGGAGAATCCATCTCAGATACATTTTCCATTGCCTATCATTTCCACACTTCTTAAAAGGATAAAGAAATCTAATCCACAGACTTTTATTATTCATGAATTCTTTTTGCCTTCTGGGAAAAAGATAGTAGAGTGACTTTTTCATTTTCTCAGATACATTTTTTCAATTCATCATTTCTTTTTGCCTTCTTCAGGATATAGGCAGTCATTTCTTTATTTCCTATCATTTCTTTTGCCTTCTTGGGAAAGATGGTATATTGCCGACTGTTTTTCTTTTATTTTCTTTATTTCCTATCATTTCTTTTGCCTTCTTGGAAAGATGGTATATTGGACTTTTCATTGAATTCTCAGATACATTTTTTTATTTCTATCATTTCTTTTTGCCTTCTTAGGAAAGATGGTATATTGCCGACTGTTCATGAATCTTCTCAGATACATTTTCTTTATTTTCCTATCATTTCTTTTGCCTTCTTGGGAAAGATGGTATATTACCGACTGTTCAGATCATCTTCATTTTCTTTATTTCCTATCATTTCTTTTGCCTTCTTGGGAAAGATGGTATATTGCCGACTGTTCACAAATCTTCTCAGATACATTTTCTTTATTTCTATCATTTCTTTTGCCTTCTTAGGAAAGATATTTTATCCGACTGTTCATGAATCTCTCTCAGATACATTTTTCTTTATTTCCTATCATTTCTTTTTGCCTTCTTGGGAAAGATGGTATATTGCCGACTGTTCATGAATCTTCTCCATACATTTTCTTTATTTCCTATCATTTCTTTTTGCCTTCTTGGGAAAGATGGTATATTGCCGACTGTTCATGAATCTTCTCAGATACATTTCTTTATTTCCTATCATTTTTTTTGCCTTCTTGGGAAAGATGGTATATTGCCGACTGTTCATTGAATCTTCTCAGATACATTTTCTTTTTTTCCTATCATTTCTTTTTGCCTTCTTGGGAAAGATGGTATATTGACTGTTCATGAATCTCTCAGATACATTTTCTTTTTCTTTATTTTCCTATCATTTCTTTTGCCTTCTTCAGGAAAGATGGTATATTGCCGACTGTTCATGAATCTCCTCAGATTCATTTCTTTTTTTCTTTATTACTGTTCTATCATTTTCCATGCCTTCTTGGAAAGATGGTATATTGCCGACTGTTTGAATCTTCTTCATTTGCTTTATTTCCTCATTTCTTTTTTGCCTTCTTGGGAAAGATGGTATACTGTTCATGAATTTTCAATTTTATTACCTTTCTATCATTTCTTTTGCCTTCTTGGGAAAGATGGTATATTGCCGACTGTTCATAAATCTTCTCAGATACATTTTTTTTATTTTTATCATTTTTTTTTGCCTTCTTTGCCTTCTTGGGAATGGATATTGGACTGTTCATGAATCTTCTCAGATTCATTTTCTTTATTTCCTATCATTTCTTTTGCCTTCTTGGGAAAGATAGTATATTGCCGACTGTTCTTTTGAATCTTCTCCAGATTCATTTTTCTTTATTTCCTATCATTTCTTTTGCCTTCTTAGGAAAGATGGTATCCGACTGTTCAAATCTTCTCAGATACATTTTCTTTATTTCCTATCATTTCTTTTGCCTTCTTGGAAAGATGGTATATTGCCGACTGTTCAAGAATCTTTTCTCAGATTCATTTTCTTTATTTCAATTCATTTTCTTTTGCCTTCTTGGGATAAAGATGGTATATTGCCGACTGTACACAGATCTCAGATTTTCTTTATTTCCTATCATTTTTTTTTGCCTTCTTGGGGAAAGATATCCATTATCTCGACATTTTGTTCATTTTTTTGCCTCTTCAGGTTTCTTCAGATACCTTTCTTTTTTCTATTTCTTTTGCCTTCTTGGGAAAGATGGTATATTGCCGACTGTTCTGAATCTTCTCAGATACATTTTCTTTATTTCCTATCTTTTCTTTTGCCTTCTTGGGAAAGATGGTATATTGCCGACTGTTTTCTCAGATACATTTTCTTTATTTCCTATCATTTCTTTTGCCTTCTTGGGAAAGATGGTATTTGCCGACTTTTTCATGAATCTTCTCAGATACATTTTCTTTATTTCCTATCATTTCTTTTGCCTTCTTGGGAAAGATGGTATATTGCCGGCTGTTCATAAATCTTCTCAGATACATTTTCTTTATTTCCTATCATTTCTTTTGCCTTCTTGGGAAAGATGGTATATTGCCGACTGTTCACAAATCTTCTCAGATACATTTTCTTTATTTCCTATCATTTCTTTTGCCTTTTCAGGAAAGATGGTATATTGCCACTGTTCATGAATTTCTTTCCTATCATTTCTTTTTGCCTTCCTATTCATTTCTTTTTCTCAGATACATTTTCTTTTTTCAATTCATTTCTTTTGCCTTCTTGGGAAAGATGGTATATTGCCGACTGTTCATAAATCTTCTCAGATACATTTTTTTATACCTATCATTTCTTTTTGCCTTCTTGGGAAAGATGGTATAAGACCGACTGTTCATGAATCTTCTCAGATACATTTTCTTTATTTCCTATCATTTCTTTTTTTGCCTTCTTGGAAAGATGGTATATTGCCGACTGTTCATGAATCTTCTCAGATACATTTCTTTATTTCCTATCATTTCTTTTGCCTTCTTGGGAAAGATGGTATATTTTGTTCATGAATCTTCTCAGATCATTTTTTTATTTCCTATCATTTCTTTTGCCTTCTTGGGAAAGATGGTATATTGCCGACTGTTCATGAATCTTCTCAGATACATTTCTTTATTTCCTATCATTTCTTTTGCCTTCTTGGGAAAGATGGTATATTGCCGACTGTTTTTTCTTCTCAGATACATTTTTCTTTATTTCCTATCATTTCTTTTTGCCTTCTTGGAAAAGATGGTATATTGCCGACTGTTCATGAATCTTCTCAGATACATTTTCTTTATTTCCTATCATTTCTTTTGCCTTCTTGGGAAAGATGGTATATTGCCGACTGTTCATGAATCATCTTTTTCATTTCTTTATTTCCCTATCATTTCTTTTTGCCTTCTTGGGGAAAGATGGTATATTGCCGACTGTTCATGAATCTTCTCAGATACATTTTCTTTATTTCCTATCATTTCTTTTGCCTTCTTGGAAAGATGGTATATTGCCGACTGTTCATGAATCTTCTCAGATACATTTTCTTTATTTCCTATCATTTTTTTGCCTTCTTGGAAAGATGGTATATTGCCGACTGTTTTGAATCTTCTCAGATACATTTCTTTATTTCCTATCATTTCTTTTTGCCTTTTGGGAAAGATGGTATATTGCCGACTGTTCATGAATCTTCTCAGATACATTTTCTTTATTTCCTATCATTTCTTTTGCCTTCTTGGGAAAAGATGGTATATTGCCGACTGTTCATGAATCTTCTCAGATACATTTTCATTTCCTATCATTTCTTTTTGCCTTCTTCAGGGATGGTATATTGCCGACTGTTCATGAATCTTCTCAGATACATTTTCTTTATTTCCTATCATTTCTTTTTGCCTTCTTGGGAAAGATGGTATATTCATGACTCTCAGAATCTTCTCAGATACATTTTCTTTATTTCCATTTTATCATTTCATTTTTTTGCCTTCTTGGGAAAGATGGTATATTGCCATTTGTTCATGAATCTTCTCAGATACATTTTCTTTATTTCCTATCATTTCTTTTGCCTTCTTTGGGAAAGATGGGAAATTTCTTTTGATGGTATGGTATATTGCCGACTGTTCATGAATCTTCTCAGATACATTTTCTTTATTTCCTATCATTTCTTTTTTTGCCTTCTTGGGAAAGATGGTATATTGCCGACTGTTCATGAATCTTCTCAGATACATTTTCTTTATTTCCTATCATTTCTTTTGCCTTCTTGGGAAAGATGGTATATTGCCGACTGTTCATGAATCTTCTCAGATACATTTTCTTTATTTCCTATCATTTTTTTTGCCTTCTTGGGAAAGATGGTATATTGCCGACTGTTCATGAATCTTCTCAGATATTCATTTCTTTATTCCTATCATTTCTTTTGCCTTCTTGGGAAAGATGGTATATTGCCGACTGTTCATGAATCTTCTCAGATACATTTTCTTTTATTTCTATCATTTCTTTTTTGCCTTCTTGGGAAAGATGGTATATTGCCGACTGTTCATGAATCTTCTCAGATACATTTTCTTTATTTCCTATCATTTCTTTTGCCTTCTTGGGAAAGATGGTATATTGCCTGTTCTGTTCATACAATTTCTTCTTTTTTTTTGCCTTCTTGGAAACATTTTCTTCATGAATCTTCTCAGATACATTTTCATTTCTTTTGCCTTCTTGGGAAAGATGGTATATTGCCGACTGTTCATGAATCTTCTCAGATACATTTTCTTTTATTTCCTATCATTTCATTTTTTTGCCTTCTTGGGAAAGATGGTATATATTGCCGACTGTTCATGAATCATCTCAGATACATTTTCTTTATTTCCTATCATTTCTTTTGCCTTCTTGGGAAAAGATGGTATATTGCCGACTGTTCATAAATCTTCTCAGATACATTTCTTTATTTCCTATCATTTCTTTGCCTTGCCATTTTCTTTATTTCCTTCATTTCCTTTCTTTTGCCTTCTTGGGAAAGATGGGTATATTATCTTCTCAGATACATTTTCTTTATTTCCTATCATTTCTTTTTGCCTTCTTGGGAAAGATGGTATGCCACTGTTTTTCTTTCAGATACATTTTCTTTATTTCCTATCATTTTTTGCCTTCTTGGGAAAGATGGTATAGTCTTTGAATCTTCTCAGATACATTTTCTTTATTACCTATCATTTCTTTTGCCTTCTTGGGAAAGATGGTATATTGCCGACTGTTCATGAATCTTCTCAGATACATTTTCTTTATTACCTATCATTTCTTTTGCCTTCTTGGGAAAAATGGTATATTGCCGACTGTTCATGAATCTTCTCAGATACATTTTCTTTATTTCCTATCATTTCTTTTGCCTTCTTGGGAAAGATGGTATATTGCCGACTGTTTCATGAATCTTCTCAGATACATTTTCTTTATTCCTATTTCTTTTTTGCCTTCTTGGGAAAGATGGTATATTGCCGACTGTTCATGAATCTTCTCAGATACATTTTCTTTATTTCCTATCATTTCTTTTTTGCCTTCTTGGAAAGATGGTATATTGCCGACTGTTCATGAATCTTCTCAGATACATTTTCTTTATTTCCTATCATTTCTTTTGCCTTCTTGGGAAAAAGATGGATACTGTTTGTTTTCTTCTTTACATTTTCTTTATTTCCTATCATTTCTTTTGCCTTCTTGGGAAAGATGGTATATTGCCGACTGTTCATGAATCTTCTCAGATACATTTTCTTTATTTCCTATCATTTCTTTTGCCTTCTTGGGAAAGATGGTATATTGCCGACTGTTCATAAATCTTCTCAGATTCATTTTCTTTATTTCCTATCATTTCTTTTGCCTTCTTGGGAAAGATGGTATAATGCCGACTGTTCATAAATCCTCTCAGATTCATTTTCTTTATTACCTATCATTTCTTTTGCCTTCTTGGGAAAATATGGTATAATGCCGACTGTTCATATATCCTCTCAGATTCATTTTCTTAATTACCTATCATTTCTTTTGCCTTCTTGGGAAAGATGGTATATTGACGACTATTATAGATACATTTTCTTTATTTCCTATCATTTCTTTTTCTCAAAGATGGTATATTTTCATGAATCTCTCAGATTCATTTTCTTCATTTGTTTTTCCTAATTTCTTTTGCCTTCTTCAGTATGTGCCGACTGTTACATTTTCATTTTCTTTATTACCTATCATTTCTTTTTCCTTCTTTGGAAAGCTGGTATATTGCCGACTGTTCATGAATCTTCTCAGATTCATTTTCTTTATTACCTATCATTTCTTTTGCCTTCTTGGGAAAGATGGTATATTGCCGACTGTTCATGAATCTTCTCAGATACATTTTCTTTATTTCCTATCATTTCTTTTGCCTTCTTGGGAAAGATGGTATATTGCCGACTGTTCATGAATCTTCTCAGATTCATTTTCTTTATTTCCTATCATTTCTTTCTTCTTGGAAAGATGCCACTTTTCTTTATTTCCTATCATTTCTTTTTTCCTATCTTCTTGCCTTCTTGGGAAAGATGGTATATTGCCGACTGTTCATGAATCTTCTCAGATACATTTTCTTTATTTCCTATCATTTCTTTTGCCTTCTTGGGAAAAGATGGTATATTGCCGACTGTTCATGAATCTTCTCAGATACATTTTCTTTATTTCCTATCATTCTTTTTGCCTTCTTGGGAAAGATGGTATATTGCCGACTGTTCATGAATCTTCTCAGATACATTTTCTTTATTTCCTATCATTTCTTTTGCCTTCTTGGGAAAAGATGGTATATTGCCGACTGTTCATGAATCTTCTCAGATACATTTTCTTTATTTCCTATCATTTTTTTTGCCTTCTTGGGAAAGATGGTATATTGCCGACTGTTCATGAATCTTCTGATACATTTTCTTTATTTCCTATCAATTTTTCTCATGGTATATTACATTTTACAAATCTTTATTTTTCTTCATTTCCTATCATTTCTTTTGCCTTCTTGGGAAAAGATGGTATATTGCCGACTGTTCATGAATCTTCTCAGATACATTTTCTTTATTTCCTATCATTTCTTTTGCCTTCTTTTGGTATATTGCCGACTGTTCATGAATCTTCTCAGATACATTTTCTTATCATTTCTTTTGCCTTCTTATGGTATATTGCCGACTGTTCGAATCTTCTCAGATACATTTTCATTTCCTAATTTCTTTTTCTCTTGGGAAAGATACATTTCTTTATTTCTTCTATCATTTCTTTTTATCCTTTTTTCTTGGGAAGGAAAGATGGTATATTGCCGACTGTTCACAAATCTTCTCAGATACATTTTCTTTATTTCCTATCATTTCTTTTGCCTTCTTGGGAAAGATGGTATATTGCCACTGTTCATGAATCTTCTCAGATACATTTTCTTTATTTCCTATCATTTTTTTGCCTTCTTGGAAGATGGTATATTGCCGACTGTTCATGAATCTTCTCAGATACATTTTCTTTATTTCCTATCATTTTGCCTTCTTGGGAAAGATGGTATATTACTGTTTGAATCTTCTCAGATACATTTTCTTTTTTCCTATCATTTCTTTTTGCCTTCTTGGGAAAGATGGTATATTGCCGACTGTTCATGAATCTTCTCAGATACATTTTCTTTATTTCCTATCATTTCTTTTTTGCCTTCTTGGGAAAAGATGGTATATTGCCGACTGTTCATGAATCTTCTCAGATACATTTTCTTTATTTCCTATCATTTCTTTTTGCCTTCTTGGGAAAAATGGTATATTGCCGACTGTTCATGAATCTTCTCAGATACATTTTCTTTATTTCCTATCATTTCTTTTTGCCTTCTTGGGAAAGATGGTATATTGCCGACTGTTCATGAATTCTCAGATACATTTTCTTTATTTCCTATCATTTCTTTTGCCTTCTTGGGAAAAGATGGTATATTGCCGACTGTTCATAAATCTTCTCAGATACATTTTCTTTATTTTATTCTTTTCCTATCATTTCTTTTTTGCCTTCTTGCCTTCTTGGAAAGATGGTATATTGCCGACTGTTCATGAATCTTCTCAGATACATTTTTTCTTTATTTCCTATCATTTCTTTTGCCTTCTTGGGAAAGATGGTATATTGCCGACTGTTCATGATACATTTCCTTCCTATCATTTCTTTTGCCTTCTTGGGAAAGATACATTTTCTTTATTTCCTATCATTTTCTTTATTTACCTATTTGCTTTTTGCCTTCTTGGGAAAAGATGGTATATTGCCGACTGTTCATGAATCTTCTCAGATACATTTTCTTTATTTCCTATCATTTCTTTTTGCCTTCTTGGGAAAGATGGTATATTGCCGACTGTTCATGAATCTTCTCAGATACATTTTCTTTATTTCCTATCATTTCTTTTTGCCTTCTTGGGAAAGATGGTATATTGCCGACTATTCATAAATCTTCTCAGATACATTTGACTTTATCATTTTTTTTTGCCTTCAGTATATTGCCGACTGTTTTCTCAGATACATTTTCTTTATTTCCTATCATTTCTTTTGCCTTCTTGGGAAAGATGGTATATTGCCGACTGTTCATAAATCTTCTCAGATACATTTTCTTTATTTCCTATCATTTCTTTTGCCTTCTTGGGAAAGATGGTATATTGCCGACTGTTCATGAATCTTCTCAGATACATTTTCTTTATTTCCTATCATTTCTTTTGCCTTCTTGGGAAAGATGGTATATTGCCGACTGTTCATGAATCTTCTCAGATACATTTTCTTTATTTCCTATCATTTTTCTTTTGCCTTCTTGGAAAAGATGGTAGATCCGACTGTTCTGAATCTTCTCAGATACATTTTCTTTATTTCCTATCATTTCTTTTTGCCTTCTTGGGAAAGATGGTATATTCGACTGTTCATGAATCTTCTCAGATACATTTTCTTTATTTCCTATCATTTCTTTTGCCTTCTTGGGAAAGATGGTATATTGCCGACTGTTCATGAATCTTCTCAGATACATTTTCTTTATTTCCTATCATTTCTTTTGCCTTCTTGGGAAAGATGGTATATTGCCGACTGTTCATGAATCTTCTCAGATACATTTTCTTTATTTCCTATCATTTTTCTTTTGCCTTCTTGGGAAAGATGGTATATTGCCGACTGTTCATGAATCTTCTCAGATACATTTTCTTTATTTCCTATCATTTTTTTTTTGCCTTCTTGGGAAAGATGGTATATTGCCGACTGTTCATGAATCTTCTCAGATACTTTTTTCTTTATTTCCTATCATTTCTTTTGCCTTCTTGGGAAAGATGGTATATTGCCGACTGTTTCATGAATCTTCTCAGATACATTTTCTTTATTTCCTATCATTTCTTTTTGCCTTCTTGGGAAAGATGGTATATTGCCGACTGTTCATGAATCTTCTCAGATACATTTTCTTTATTTCCTATCATTTCTTTTGCCTTCTTGGGAAAAGATGGTATATTGCCGACTGTTCATGAATCTTCTCAGATACATTTTCTTTATTTCCTATCATTTCTTTTGCCTTCTTGGGAAAGATGGTATATTGCCGACTGTTCATGAATCTTCTCAGATACATTTTCTTTATTTCCTATCATTTCTTTTTGCCTTCTTGGGAAAAGATGGTATATTGCCGACTGTTCATGAATCTTCTCAGATACATTTTCTTTATTTCCTATCATTTCTTTTTGCCTTCTTGGGAAAGATGGTATATTGCCGACTGTTCATGAATCTTCTCAGATACATTTTCTTTTTTCTTTTTTTCCCTTATCATTTCTTTTGCCTTCTTGGGAAAGATTTTCTTTATTATATTTCTTTTGCCTTCGGAAAGATGTTCATGAATCATGAATTCTCAGATACATTTTCTTTATTTCCTATCATTTCTTTTGCCTTCTTGGGAAAGATGGTATATTGCCGACTGTTCATGAATCTTCTCAGATACATTTTCTTTATTTCCTATCATTTCTTTTTGCCTTCTTGGGAAAGATGGTATATTGCCGACTGTTCATGAATCTTCTCAGATACATTTTTTTTTATTTTTATTTCTTTTATCATTTCTTCATCTTCATTTTTTGCCTTCTTTTTTGCCTTCTTGGGAAAGATGGTATATTGCCGACTGTTCATGAATCTTCTCAGATTCATTTTCTTTATTTCCTATCATTTCTTTCGCCTTCTTGGGAAAGATGGTATATTGCCGACTGTTCATGAATCTTCTCAGATACATTTTCTTTATTACCTATCATTTCTTTTGCCTTCTTGGGAAAGATGGTATATTGCCGACTGTTCATGAATCTTCTCAGATACATTTTCTTTATTTCCTATCATTTCTTTTGCCTTCTTGGGAAAGATGGTATATTGCCGACTGTTCATGAATCTTCTCAGATACATTTTCTTTATTTCCTATCATTTCTTTTTGCCTTCTTGGGAAAGATGGTATATTGCCGACTGTTCATGAATCTTCTCAGATACATTTTCTTTATTTCCTATCATTTCTTTTGCCTTCTTGGGAAATGGTATATATTGCCGACTGTTATGAATCTTCTCAGATACATTTTCTTTATTTCCTATCATTTCTTTTGCCTTCTTGGGAAAGATGCCATTTTGAATCTTCTCAGATACATTTTCTTTATTTCCTAACATTTTTTTGCCTTCTTGGGAAAGATGGTATAATGCCGACTGTTCATGACTCTCCTCAGATACATTTTCTTTATTTCCTATCATTTCTTTTTTGCCTTCTTGGGAAAGATGGTATATTGCCGACTGTTCATGAATCTTCTCAGATACATTTTCTTTATTTCCTATCATTTCTTTTTGCCTTCTTGGGAAAGATGGTATGGTACTGTTATTTCTCAGATACATTTTCTTTTTTTTCCTATCATTTCTTTTTCCTTCTTGGGAAAGATGGTATATTGCCGACTGTTTGAATCATCCTATTTTCTTCATTTCCTATCATTTTTTTGCCTTCTTGGGAAAGATGGTATATTGCCGACTGTTCATGAATCTTCTCAGATTCATTTCTTTATTTCCTATCATTTCTTTTTGCCTTCTTGGGAAAGATGGTATATGCCGACTGTTCATTCTTCTCAGATACATTTTCTTTTTTTTCCTATTTCTTTTGCCTTCTTGGGAAAGATGGTATATTGCCGACTGTTCATGAATCTTCTCAGATACATTTTCTTTATTTCCTATCATTTTTTTGCCTTCTTGGGAAAGATGGTATATTGCCGACTGTTACAAATCTTCTCAGATACATTTTCTTTTTACCTATCATTTCTTTTGCCTTCTTGGGAAAGATGGTATATTGCCGACTGTTCATGAATCTTCTCAGATACATTTTCTTTATTACCTATCATTTCTTTTGCCTTCTTGGGAAAGATGGTATATTGCCGACTGTTCATGAATCAACTCAGATACATTTTCTTTATTTCCTATCATTTCTTTTGCCTTCTTGGGAAAGATGGTATATTGCCGACTGTTCATGAATCTTCTCAGATACATTTTCTTTATTTCCTATCATTTCTTTTTGCCTTCTTAGGAAAAGATGGTATATTGCCGACTGTTCATAAATCTTCTCAGATACATTTCTTTATTTCCTATCATTTCTTTTGCCTTCTTGGGAAAGATGGTATATTGCCGACTGTTCATGAATCTTCTCAGATACATTTTCTTTATTTCCTATCATTTCTTTTTGCCTTCTTGGGAAAGATGGTATATTGCCGACTGTTCATGAATCTTCTCAGATACATTTTCTTTATTTCCTATCATTTCTTTTTGCCTTCTTGGGAAAAGATGGTATATTGCCGACTGTTCATGAATCTTCTCAGATACATTTTCTTTATTTCCTATCATTTCTTTTGCCTTCTTGGGAAAGATGGTATATTGCCGACTGTTCATGAATCTTCTCAGATACATTTTCTTTATTTCCTATCATTTCTTTTTGCCTTCTTGGAAAGATGGTATATTGCCGATTCTGTTCTTCTCAGATTCATTTTCTTTATTTCCTATCATTTTCTTCTTGGGAAAGATACATTTCTTTCTTCTCAGATTCATTTTCCTATCATTTCTTTTTGCCTTCTTGGGAAAGATGGTATATTGCCGACTGTTCATGAATCTTCTCAGATACATTTTCTTTATTTCCTATCATTTCTTTTGCCTTCTTGGGAAAGATGGTATATTGCCGACTGTTCATGAATCTTCTCAGATACATTTTCTTTATTTCCTATCATTTCTTTTTTGCCTTCTTAGGAAAGATGGTATATTGCCGACTGTTCATGAATCTTCTCAGATACATTTTCTTTATTTCCTATCATTTCTTTTGCCTTCTTGGGAAAGATGGTATATTGCCGACTGTTCATGAATCTTCTCAGATACATTTTCTTTATTTCCTATCATTTCTTTTTGCCTTCTTGGGAAAGATGGTATATTGTTCATGAATCTTCCGATTCATTTTCATTTCCTATCATTTCTTTTGCCTTCTTGGGAAAGATGGTTTTCTTTCATGAATTTCTCAGATCATTTTCTTTTTGCTATCTTCTTCTTGGGAAAGATGGTATATTGCCGACTGTTCATGAATCTTCTCAGATACATTTTCTTTATTTCCTATCATTTCTTTTGCCTTCTTGGGAAAGATGGTATATTGCCGACTGTTACAAATCTTCTCAGATACATTTTCTTTATTTCCCTATCATTCTTTTTCTTCAGATACATTTTCTTAGATTCTTCTCAGATATTTTCTTTTTTCCTATCATTTCTTTTTGCCTTCTTGGGAAAGATGGTATATTGCCGACTGTTCATGAATCATCTCAGATACATTTTCTTTATTTCCTATCATTTCTTCTGCCTTCTTGGGAAAGATGGTATATTGCCGACTGTTCATGAATCTTCTCAGATACATTTTCTTTATTTCCTATCATTTCTTTTGCCTTCTTGGGAAAGATGGTATATTGCCGACTGTTCATAAATCTTCTCAGATACATTTTCTTTATTACCTATCATTTCTTTTGCCTTCTTGGGAAAGATGGTATATTTGTTCATGAATCTTCTCAGATACATTTTCTTTATTACCTATCATTTTTTTTCCCTTCTTGGGAAAGATGGTATATTGCCGACTGTTCATGAATCTTCTCAGATACATTTTCTTTATTTCCTATCATTTCTTTTGCCTTCTTGGGAAAGATGGTATATTGCCGACTGTTCATGAATCTTCTCAGATACATTTTCTTTATTTCCTATCATTTCTTTTGCCTTCTTGGGAAAGATGGTATATTGCCGACTGTTCATGAATCATCTCAGATACATTTTCTTTATTTCCTATCATTTTTTTTTTGCCTTCTTGGGAAAGATGGTATATTGCCGACTGTTCATGAATCTTCTCAGATACATTTTCTTTATTTCCTATCATTTCTTTTGCCTTCTTGGGAAAGATGGTATATTGCCGACTGTTCATGAATCTTCTCAGATACATTTTCTTTATTTCCTATCATTTCTTTTGCCTTCTTGGGAAAGATGGTATATTGCCGACTGTTCATAAATCTTCTCAGATACATTTTCTTTATTACCTATCATTTCTTTTTGCCTTCTTGGGAAAATGGTATATTGACTGTTCATAAATCTTCTCAGATACATTTTCTTTATTTCCTATCATTTCTTTTGCCTTCTTGGGAAAGATGGTATATTGCCGACTGTTCACAAATCTTCTCAGATACATTTTCTTTATTTCCTATCATTTCTTTTGCCTTCTTGGGAAAGATGGTATATTGCCGACTGTTATAATTCTCAGATACATTTTATTTCATTTCTTTTCTTCTTGGGAAAGATACATTTCTTTCTTCTCAGATACATTTCTTTATTTCCTATCATTTCTTTTTGCCTTCTTAGGAAAGATGGTATATTGCCGACTGTTCATGAATCTTCTCAGATACATTTTCTTTATTTCCTATCATTTCTTTTGCCTTCTTGGGAAAGATGGTTTATGAATCTCAGATATTTTCTTTATTTCCTATCATTTCTTTTGCCTTCTTAGGAAAAGATGGGTATATTCCGACTGTTCATAAATCTTCTCAGATACATTTTCTTTATTTCCTATCATTTCTTTTTGCCTTCTTGGGAAAGATGGTATATTGCCGACTGTTCATGAATCTTCTCAATACATTTTCTTTATTTCCTATCATTTCATTTTTTGCCTTCTTGGAAAGATGGTATATTACTGTTCTGTTCATTTTCTTTATTTCCTAATTTTCTTCAGATACATATTTCTTTATTTCCTATCATTTTTTTTTTATCCTTTTGCCTTCTTGGGAAAGATGGTATATTGCCGACTGTTCATATCCTCTCAGATACATTTTCTTTATTACCTATCATTTCTTTTGCCTTCTTGGGAAAGATGGTATATTGCCGACTGTTCATGAATCTTCTCAGATTCATTTTCTTTTCTACCTCTCATTTCTTTTGCCTTCTTGGGAAAGATGGTATATTGCCGACTGTTCATGACTCTCCTCAGATACATTTTCTTTATTTCCTATCATTTCTTTTTTGCCTTCTTCTTGGAAAAGATGGTATACTAAACTGTTCATGAATCTTCTCAGATACATTTTCTTTATTTCCTATCATTTCTTTTGCCTTCTTGGGGCAGCAAATCATCTCAGATACATTTTCTTTATTTCCTATCATTTCTTTTGCCTTCTTGGGAAAGATGGTATATTGCCGACTGTTCATGACTCTCCTCAGATACATTTTCTTTATTTCCTATCATTTCTTTTGCCTTCTTGGGAAAGATGGTATATTGCCGACTGTTCATGACTCTCCTCAGATACATTTTCTTTATTTCCTATCATTTCTTTTGCCTTCTTGGGAAAGATGGTATATTGCCGACTTAATTCATGAATCTTCTCAGATACATTTTTCTTTATTTCCTATCATTTCTTTTTTGCCTTCTTGGGAAAAGATGGTATATTGCCGACTGTTCATGAATCTTCTGATACATTTTCTTTATTTCCTATCATTTCTTTTTGGGAAAAGATGGTATATTGCCGACTGTTCATGAATCTTCTCAGATACATTTTCTTTATTTCCTATCATTTCTTTTTGCCTTCTTGGGAAAGATGGTATTTCTTTTGCCTTCTTGGGAAAAGATGGTATATTGCCGACTGTTCATGAATCATCTCAGATACATTTTCTTTATTACCTATCATTTCTTTTGCCTTCTTGGGAAAGATGGTATATTGCCGACTGTTCATGACTCTCCTCAGATACATTTTCTTTATTAGCTATCATTTCTTTTGCCTTCTTGGGAAAGATGGTATAATGCCGAATGTTCATGACTCTCCTCAGATACATTTTCTTTATTACCTATCATTTCTTTTGCCTTCTTGGGAAAAATGGTATATTGCCGACTGTTCATGAATCTTCTCAGATTCATTTTCTTTATTACCTATCATTTCTTTTGCCTTCTTGGGAAAGATGGTATATTGCCGACTGTTCATAAATCTTCTCAGATACATTTTCTTTTATTTCCTATCATTTCTTTTGCCTTCTTGGAAAAGATGGTATATTGCCGACTGTTCATGAATCTTTACATTTTCAATCATTTCTTTTGCCTTCTTGGATGCCATTTTCTTCAGATTTTCTTTATATCAGCCTTTTTTGCCTTCTTTGTATATTGCCCGACTGTTCATGAATCTTCTCAGATACATTTTCTTTATTTCCTATCATTTCTTTTGCCTTCTTAGGAAAAGATGGTATATTGCCGACTGTTCATGAATCTTCTCAGATACATTTTCTTTATTTCCTATCATTTCTTTTGCCTTCTTGGGAAAGATGGTATATATATATAACGTCGTCATTCAGAACTATTCTTCATTGCTTGTGAGGACATTTCGAGGCTCGGAAGTGTAATGGTTAGCGACTCGGATTGAGGAATCGGAGAGTCGAATTTATTATATTCACTTACGTGCTAATGCCCTTGGGACAGGTATGCATCCATCTTTTCTCTCCCATCTATGCGTAAATAGCAAGACAGACCGGGTTCTATTGCCGGTCTAGGAGAAAGAAAAAGGAGGGAACCGAAAGCTCTTAATAACTCAGTACTATCTGGTATTATCTGAAATCCCTAGACGTCGCACAGTTGGGAGCCCTGAGATTGTAGGAGGAAAAAGGTTGCTGTGCCGCCATGCACACCATTGCAACCATACCAACCTGCGCAAGTCACCTTGATTTGCTAGGTTGGGTTATCACCGATTCTCGACGAACTCCTTGAAAAGCGGCATTTTTTCAATCTCTCGGAATAATGTTCAATTTCTGAAGTCATCTTTCTCCATTTTGCGTTTTTTTTTTAATTCCTTGCCACACTTTCTGTCGTCTCTTTCTATGCTACCCAGCTCGTGAAATTTTGTCGTCTCCGATACGTAACTCACACCTCGGGTTGCTCTTTTAGCTGACGACCATGTATCCTGACTTCTATCAGTTTATGATTCGTTCTTCTTATTTTCATTGACTACCTTGTTTAATAGTGCTTTCAGCTTTTTCTGAAAGTGCTATCAACACCGTTGTTATACCGGAACATGCCTATTCTATTGTTAATAGACTCTCCCACAGATAATAAGTAGTAGTAGTAGCAGTCGCCAGGGGGCTCAGTGAGTTCGTGAGTCAGTCGATGTCGGACATTAAAGTATCAAGCACCACAACTAGATTGCTGCGTCATTAACTATTATTTCAAGTTCCTAACGTTTTATACGTCGAACCTTTTTTAGGACCGACTTAGTGAAATACAAGACTCCAATGTGAAAACTACTCTACAACAACTTGGCGACGAGGGATTCGTTCTCATACGGAGGAAGAAAAATTTTTCGTTCACTCTACAACAACCGTGAAGCTCTTTGAAACCTAATATATATTCGCCCATTCCGTTCTTATAGAAGCCATTTTGAAATGGTAAAGATTTCTATTTTGTTTGCGGTTTTTAGTCATTTTCCTTCAAGCAAGACGATAATGCCACTAAGAGTTTAGTTGAGAGTTAAATAAAATGAGAAGATGTTAGTGAGGAGAAAGGACAATAAAAGAACAGGTTTCCTGAAAACAGGAGATAACAATTTAAATTTTAAAAAGCGAAAACTTGATAGAAAAGGGACTATTATAATCGGACTTGCAGTTACATCTAACTATTTCAACAGTAAAATGTTGAGGCTTAACTATCAATCTAGTACTGTGCTTAAATTAATATTTCCATGAAAATATTAACAGAAAAGACACAGCGAAACACACCACGGGGTAAAAAAAGGGACAAAAGTCGAGATGCCAGTTCAGAACCGATAACATTACAGATTCTTCTTTGGATTCTGTTGAGAATTTCGAGATACATAGCAAAAGCAGCAGATCAGATGTGGTGGCAATATTCAATGCAATATTTACCAAGCCTGACAGAATATGAGAAAAAAATAAACTTTATTAAAGAGAGATAGCAATAAGAAGCAGTCCGAACGTTATCTCTTAACGAAGTGCAACGTTGTGGAAGCGTTTTAGTTGTCTTGATAACTATAATGTGTATGTGTGTGTGTGCACGCGCGTTATAAGTTATGTTAAGGTAACAAGTATTCATCCCCAAAAAATTGAGTAAAAAGAACCGACATGGTCAGTCATTTTTTTTCTTTTTTTTTTTAATCATTTCACCGCAAGGAAGGCAATAAAGCCACTAAGATGCAGAGGTATACCGAGCGTGAAAGAATATGAGAAAACAAAAATATTATTAAGGAGAGATATCAATAAAAGAACATGAACTGAAATGAATTGACAGGAAAACAAGAAACCTGAAAAGAGTTCCATAAGTGACAAAAGAAAAAAAAGTGTTAGCACAGAACTTACGGCTACACCCAGCCATTTCAACTGTAAAATTGCGAAACCTTGCTGCCAATCTAGCACTGCGCTTAAATTCGTAAAGTCGATGTACCGAAGAGAAAAGGTGATCAGAACAATTTTCTTGAAAATATTTATAGAAAGGACAGAGGGAAGCTACCTTACGGCGGCGGAAAAAGTAACTGAAGCGTAGATGTCAGGTCAGAAGCGAAAACATTACAGATCTTTTTGGGGATTTTGTTGAGGATTTCTAAATATATAGCAGAATCACCAGATCAGATATGGCAGCAATATTCAATGGCGGAACGGTCGACTTATAAATGTGCAAGTTAGATTCTGGAGAGAAAAATTATCAGGCACGACACAGTGAAAATATGTTGGTTCATATTTCTTGGGTGGATTTCTTTAATCTCTCTCAAGATATAATCGATCATGGCTCTTCATATCATTCTATTCTTCAATATCTATAACCATTATTTCTTGAGAAAGGAAGTCAAACTGTTTTCTGTTGTCGCCTTCACGATTTTAAATTCAGAGCTGTCACCTTGACTTGTTACCCTACTAAGACTAAATTTGTCTATATACGTTTTTTTAAAGGTGGGACTGGTGGGGATGTTGGCTCATTCCTTTCTAAGGGCCAGTAATGCAAAGGGAACTCGACATATCCAGTCGAAATTTGAAATTGGCTCACAGATTCCATTTTATAAACCTCTAACCATCATGCCGCCCACTAATTCACCAGGAGTCGATTTATAGGGTCACATATTCACGATGTTAGGCGTTGCCGCTATGGTTTCTGTAGTAAGTAGTTTTTTTTTACAGGGTGGAGTTTTTAGTCCCACACCCTACCAATTTCGAATTCAGGATTGTCTTTGTCCTAAAGAGGTCTGACAAACAAAGCTAGAGACTACAGCCTGCCCTTCTATTATCCACTAGCTGTGGGTGGAGAAAAAAGAGTTTTTTAATCGGTATCACCCAATGCAAGGCAATAAAGCCACTATGACACAAGGGTTCACAGCGTGTGGAATAATTAGGAACAAAAGTAGTAATAATGAGGTGAAAGAGAAAATAGTAATCAGGAGGGCAGTAGATAGCGATTGATATTGCATTTAAATTTTTGCAGATTAAAGTTGGCTGGAAAGCATAGAGCCGGAAGGGAGTTCCACAAGTGAGAAGTGCGGGAAAAGAAACTGTTAGCATAGAACTTACGGTTACAT